TGTGCCTGAGGAACCAGCTGGAGGATGTCATCAAAGTACACATTCCAGAGAAGAGGGCCGAGGACACTGCCTTGTGGAACACTAGCTTCTACTGGATATTCAGATGTGTGACCATTAATTGCGGCTTGCAGACTTCTACCTTTACGGTAATCATGAAGTAGACTTAGAAGTTTGTCATCAATACCCAAACTGTGAAGCTTGGCGATGATTCCTCTGTGCCACACTCTGTCGAAAGCCCCGGCAATGTCGAGAGCTGTGACATAAGTGTCACAGCCTTCATCAAGCAACTGGTTCCACGCAGTAGTCATGGTCAATAATAAGTCGGAAGCTGATCTGTTTTGCATGAATCCAAATTGTCTTGTGCTTAAAAGGTGGTGTTTGCTGAAGAATGAAGATAACCTGGCAGCTATATTTTTTTCAAACACCTTTCCTATTACAGAGAGCAGGGATATGGCTCTGTAATTTTCATGCGGAATACTTTTTTATATATTGCCACCACTCTTGCTCTTTTCCATAGCGTGGGCCTTGTTTGGTGATAGAGACAGTTGTGGAACAGTGTGGCTAATGGCAGAGCTAATTGTTTGGCACACGTTTTGAGAGTGCGAGGGCTTATATCATCAGGAACCACAGCCTTGGACGTATCAAGATTGCAGTTTTGTTCAACCTCGATGCTGGAAACATGAATTGTTGTTATGCTGGACTGTCTCAGGGTCCTCAGACCCTACTATTATCACTACAGTCATGTCACACATCATCTGAAATGCACACAGGATTTACCTTTATAACTTAGTTTATAACTAGAAAGTGCTGTGTTCAGCTGACCGGCAAACATCTATTCAGCACGTGAGTGTTCCAATCTGGAAAGCTTAATGAAGTTTAGGGTCGTCTTCGTTCCATTGAAACGTCCCCAGATTCTCAAAGGAGTGACTCCAAGCGTAGCTTTAGTTGATCCGCAATGAAGTGAACTGCACTATTCTGGTTCCCTTGGTAAAGACTTGATGACTTTTTAGGGTCTAGGACCTTCATTTTGTTGAAGAAATGGCAAGCAAATATTCAGCCATTTGCTGTCGATGACAGGCTTGCCATCTTTGGTTTGCAGGGGAGGAATAGTATCATCTGGTCTGAAGCCTTGTTGCTGCTTGATGCAGTTCCACCATGATTTGGACCCCACAGACCTACCTCTAAGTTTCTGCGCGAGGTCGTCTTGTCAGCGGTTTACTGCCCATTATTCCACCCTAGCCATTTCTTTACAGGCTGCCTTATGTAGAGCCTTATTTATCTCTGTGGGATTCCATTTTAATCGTATCCATGCACGACTTTTTGCATTAGCTGCAACCCTGCAGTTGGGGCCAAACCAAACTTGGTCTTTTGGTTTGGTTTTAAGTAAGCAGTTTGGTATATATTGATGCTGGACCTTGACTATGAGGTTGGTGAAGTTTTGTTTGCTTTTCGACACTTCCAGTCAGAATATCTTTCCAGTTGGTCGAATTTAAAGAAGGTTTTATTCCTTCCCAGTTTCCTTTATCCCACTGCCGTATTACTCTACTAACGCCTTCATCTTGCATTAAAGCAGTCTGTATGGTTGTGAGTATAGCAGTGTGATCTGATGTTCCCACATTACCTAAGGCAGAGCACTGGACTAAGGACTCTGGGAAGTCACTCAGAACGGGATCTAATGAAGAACCAGAAATGTGTGTTAGAAAATTAACGTGAATGTGCATTCCAAACACAGTAAGAAGATTGTCGAATGCAGTTGCCACAAGGTATTGGTTTAAATCTCCTAGTATGATGATGTGCTGGCAGGAGTGTTCAAAAAGAATTCGGTCGAGATTGTCAGAAAATGGATCAGCTCAGCACCTTGCCATTGTGGCCTGTAACAAATGTAGAGGAACACAGAAGTTTCTTGTGTGATCCACATTCTGAAGAACATCAGCTCGAGGTGGGATGGGTGACTAATGCATCGAGGTTCAATACCAAGCCCTTTGCCTCCGAAGGTACTGCCGTTCCAGTCCCTACGGTACCACTGGGTAAATCCGAGGATTTGGCCATAGATGGCACAGAGTCATTTAGGAAAGTTTCAACTGTGGCAACAATGTCAATGCGATATGGCGTTACAAAATTGTGGGTGAGCTCCCCAACATTTGTCTAAAATCCTCTCAGGTTGGCTGAGAGAATTCTCAAATGATTAAAATCTAGATGCCCTGAACGGGACATGATTCCAGGACCCTTGGGTCGGGTGAATGTTTGCTTGGCGTGTGTGTGTGTGTGTCTGGTGGGAATTGGATGCAGTGGCTGCATTAGTGTATGCTCGAGATTGCTGTGTCCTTTGTGGGCCAGTATAGGGACACGGAGGTTGGGCGGGCCTGGTATTGCTACTGTCCCTATCACTGCGTGCAGCAGCTGCTGGATGTGTCAGTGTAGCTGTTTCGGGGAGGCTATCTGTGGTTCTCTGATCACGATTAGTTGATCTGATAATCTTAGGTCTGCCTGAATCCCACCATGCCTGAGCAGTGTCGCTTGAGCTTAAGAGACTGCGCCACTCCTCGTCAATCCTGGTAGAACTGGCTGTAGAGGCAATAGATCTCACTTCAAGCTCCTCAGCACTTCTCTTTGTGGCAGCAATGGTATCAATATGCTGCACTGTACGAACTACAGCGTCTCGGTTGCTCGCAAGATCGGTAGTGAAGTCGCTGAAGGAGTTCAGCTATCTTCCTCTTACGTAACTCCACACGCAGCTTTCTTATGATGTCCACGAGTTCATGGACTGGTAGCTGTAACAGCTGATCTTCTTCCCCGTCTTCGCCTTCTTCAGAGTGGCCAGTCTCCACGTCAGTGGCGCAGGCCTGTACGGCGATTTCAGGTAGATATTCCACCGGGTCGGTGATATCCCTCTGCAGCCTTATATCAGAGGTGTTTATGTAGGAGAATCTCTCCTCCCCGCGCATGCAGGTGTCGTGACATGTTTTCACAGGTGCCACTTTGACACTTCAGATATGCGTCACCCCTCTTTATGGCATAGTCACATACACAACACCACTGGTCTGAGCAAATGCCTGTGCGGGTACGCCTGGCAGTGCGTAGGTGACATACATGTGAGTCTTTTCCTGCCCTCTCTTGGTGACTCATTCTCCCATTTTTCTTACTATCTTAGCAAGAGCGGTAGGGGAGGGGGTCAGTCATGCAAAGGGAGGCTGGATGGTGTTGTTTCACCCAGGGTCGCGTTCTCCCTGCAGTTCCACCGAAAGCTGGGGCTGACCCAAAGTAAGAGAAGTGGGAACGCGCAAAGTATAGAAGAAAAGAATGAGAAAAAAGGTGAGAAAATTGAGAATTGTCACGACAAAGCGTGAGTTCCGC